ATTATTTATACTTTTGTTTCACTGTTTCTAGTTGAATGTAAAAATTTAAAAATTATTATTTTTTTTATATATTATTTTATAATAATTATTATTTTTATTTTTATTTTATTTTATTTTTAATTTATTTTTTTATTTATTTTATTTTTATTTTATATATTATTTTTTTTATTTATTATACTCTGTCCTGTCTATTTATACTTTTATGTTTTACTCTTTCTAGTTGAATGTGAAAATTTAAAGTTGGAAGGAGAATAAAGTGGTGAAATATTAAATGAAATAGTTACTATAAACAGTGAAAGAAAAAATATTCTATTCATGACTCTCTAATATCGTCTCTGTATTCAAGAGTCTACATTGGGGATTACAAACGGATTCGCATCCCACACCTGAGTTCGAAGTCTCCGAACTCTCGAAACTTAGATTAGTTATAACTATACAAATTAATTAAATTATGATTTTAGTACAAATTCATACTAATAATTTTGATACCTAATGTAAATTTTGAGATTTCTCTATCCAAATTTATAATCAGTCTAAGTAATAGTATTTTTTAATAGTATTTTTTAAAACTATTTTTTAATAGTAATTTTTAATACTATTTAATAGTATTTTTTAATAATATTTAATAGTATTTTTTAAAAGGATTTAATAGTATTTTTTAATAGTATTTAATAGTATTTTTTAATAGTATTTTTTAATAGTATTTTTTAATAGTATTTATTAATACTATTTTTTAATAGTATTTTTTTCGATAAAAAAGATTTCTTAATTTAAGTACAAAATATTCTTATTAAAAATAACTCACCGGTCGTTGTCGTACCTTCCAGAAATTCCTGAAAAAGAAAGAAAAATTTTATATTTAATTGGAAAAAAACCGAATTAAACAATTTAGAAAATATTTAAATTTTTAAAAATCTCTTTTTTTAAATTTAATATTACTCATTATAAAATTTTTTATATTTAATTTCGCTGGGAAAAAAATTTTCCCTCCTTATATTTTCTCAACTGAATAAACTAGATATTTGCTTTTTAGTACTAAATCTTTTTCTCCATTCAATTCAGTTATGTATTTATCGACATGATTTACTGCTGAGAACTGTGTGCGAATATATATATATAGGTGAATGCTGAATGGACCTGAGAGTTACATGCTTTCAACGAACCAGAGTCGTTTATTAATTTACCAAGAACTACGCTATGTACACACACCTGTACGTGTTTACAACGAGCATATTTTCATGTTTTCTTTTTTTTGAAAAATAAAAAATTACATAAAAAAAATAGAAAGTTTAGCAAAAAAAAAAAAATTTGTAAAAAATTTCTCGAGTATCCAACTAACTTCGATATTACGCAAGCCTACAAACAAAACAAAAAAAGGCAGGAAAAAAAGAATGGTGGCTTTAAAAAATACTCAACTTTATTCCGCACTCTCGGAAACGAGGGAAACTCTCTATAAATTTTACAAGCTCTAGTAAAAAGAGATATTACCCTACATGATAAATAATTATCCAAAAGCGAACGATAAAAATTCGTTAAATGTTATTGCTTTAGTAAATTTCTTTTCATTTCGTCTTTATTGGATGGCAAAAAAAAAAAAAACATTTTTACTGTTAAGATTTATGAAAACATTTTTTTATATTTAAAAAGACTAGTTAAGAAAAATCTTGGAAAATTTTAATAAAATTTTTAATAACAGTTTGGAACATTAAGAAATACTTGAGAAATTAAGAAGAAGCTTGGAAACTTAAAGAAAACTTGAGGAGTTTTAAAAAAAGGTAGAAATACTTGAAAAATTAGGAAAAATATTGGAAAATTAAGAAAAAGCTTTGATTTTGTAAAAAAAAAAATCTGGAAAAGTTTTATAAACTGTATGAAAAATTAAGAAAAAATACTTTTAATATATAAAAAAGACTTAGAACATTGTAAAGATTGTGGATAATCTTAAAAAAGATTGGAAAATGCAACAGTGCTTGGATAATTTAAAAACAACTTTTAAAATGAAGAAAAAGATTGAAAAATTCTAAAAGAAGCTTGAAGAAATAAAAAAATAGGAAAAATATAGAAAAAGCTTGTAATATTTAAAAGAGCTTGGATAATTTAAAAAGTGCTTAAAAAAATTTAGAAAAAGATTAAAAAAATTAAAAGAGCTTGAATTAATTTAAAAACGGTTGGATAATTTTTTTAAAATAAGGTTAAAAAAATAAACAAAAAACTTGAAAAATTAGAAAGCAATTAGAATATTTTAAACAATGTTGGTAGCATTTAAAAAAGCTTGAAAATTTAAAAAATGTTGGAAAAATTAAAAAAAAGCGTCAAAAATTTTTTAAAAATTTTTAATTAACATAAAAAAGGCTTGAAAAAATAAATAAAGCTTGGAAAATGCAAACGAGCTTGAATAATTTAAAAATAACTTTTAAAAATAAAGAAAAAAGGCTTGAAAAATTTTTTAAAAATAAATTAAAAAATTAAAAATGTCATGAAAAATTAATAAAAAATCTTTAAAATTTAAAAAAGCTTGAATAATTGAAAAAAGCTTCAAAAATTTAAAAAAAATTTTAATTAACTTCAAAAAGACTTGAAAAAATAAAAAAATCTTGAAAAATACAAAAGAGCTTGGATAATTTAAAAATAACTTTTAAAATGGAGAAAAAAAGCTAGAAAAATTTTTAAAAATGCTTAAAAAATTAAAAATGCCATGAAAAATTAATAAAAAGTCTCTAAAATTTATAAAAGCTTGAATAATTAAAAAAGGCTTGAAAAATTAAGAGAGATCTTGAAAAATACAAAAGAGCTTGGATAATTTAAAAATAACTTTTAGAATGGAGAAAAATAGCTTGAAAAATTTTTAAAAATGCTTAGAAAATTAAAAATGTCATGAAAAATTAATAAAAAGTCTCTAAAATTTATAAAAGCTTGGAAAATTAAAAAAAGCTTGAAAAATTAAAAGAAAGCCTTGGAAAATGCACAAAGAGCTTGATGAATTTTTAAAAAAAAATATTAAAATTAAGAAAAAAAGATTAAAAAATTTAAAAAATATGAAAAATATAGAAAAAGCCTTTAAAATTTAAAAAAGCTTGAATAATTAATAAAAGCTTGAAAAATTAAAAAGAAACGTTGTACAAACGCAAAAAAAGCTTAATAATTAAAAAACAACTTTAAAAATTGAGCAAAAGATTGCAAATTTTTTAAAAGCTTGATAAATTTTAATAAGCAGGAAAAATTTAGAAAAAGCCCCCAAAATTTAAACGAGCATGAATAATTAAAAAAAATGTAAGACAATTTGAAAAAAAAGATTGAAAAATTAAATAAAAAACTGGAAAATTTATTAAAAAAAGATTAGAAAACTTTAAACAATGTTTGTAACAATTAAAAAAGCTTAAAAATATAAGAAAATGATGTAAAAATTAAAAAAAAGGGTCAAAAATTAAAAAAAATTTAAATTAACTTAAAAAAAGGCTTTAAAAATTAAAAAAAAAAAGCTTTGAAAAATTCAAAAGAAGTTGGACAATTAAAACATAACTGTTAAAATGAAAAAAAAGCGATTGAAAGATTTTAAAAGAAGTTTAAAAAATTAAGAAATTAAAAAAAGCTTGAAAAATTAAAAGAAAGACTGAAAAATGCAAAAAGAGCTGGAATAATAAAAAAGAATTTTAAATTAAGAAAAAAATTGCAAATTTTTTAAAAAGGTGGAAAAATTTTAAAAACATGAAAAATATAGAAAAAGTCTAAAATGTAAAAAAGCTCCAATAATAAATAAAGACTTGAAAGATTAAAAGGAAACGTTGGTAATGCAAAAAAGCTTAATAATTAAAAAAAACAAGTTAAAAATTAGGAAAAAGATTTGAACATTTTTAAGAGAAGTTTGAAGAATTAAAAAAAGCAAGAAAAAATTAGAAAAAGCTCGTAAAATTTTCTCTTTATTTCTTAATTAATTAATTCTTTTTTTTTTTTGTCACACATTGTCATTGATTTTACATCTTCTTCGCATGCACTATTGATGAACTAATGAAACACTTTTCTGAATGTGAAAGTTTTTGTCTCAGCTGTTCTTGGAGGCAACTCTGATTGAATTGCTTTTGCCTCTTCTCTTCGTACTTTACGTTTTACACTCCCATGACATACGCATTCTTCTTATACACCAGAGTATCTGCCATGTTCTTTTTTTTTCTTTCATTTTTTTTTCTCTTCCTTTTATTTTCAAATACAAGAACTGTAATGGACTACTGGATAGAAAACTTGTCGATAAAGGCCTCATACAGCTAAAGAAACTGAATTGTTCTGCGCGGAAAAAGAAACTTTTTTTTTCCTTAAAGTTTTTGATGCATTCGATTTATCTTTTTTATTTTTCACTATATAAACCCCCGATACATAAGTTTTCAACGAGTACGCAATTTTCTCTTTTATATTGAATTTTTCTACAAACGGTTTGTTATTTGTTCGAAACTTTTGATAAAAGTAAATTTTCGAAAATGTTATTAATAAATTAATATTATTAAATTAAATATTAAATTAATATTATTAAATTAAATATTAAATTAATATTATTAAATTAAATATTAAATTAATATTAAATATTCACGAAATATTATTATTTAATTATACACTGAAAAAAAATTATTTTGATACAAATAACCGATTAATTGACTATTATCAAGTAAATATTTACTTGAATCAAATAATATTTATTTATTGGAGTCAATTGAATGGAATTTGAACCAATAATTTCAGTATTTGAAGCAAATATGAACTGAACCATTTAATTAACTCCAATAAATATTATTTGATTTAATAAAATATTTAATTAACAATAGTCAATTAATTAGTTATTTGAATCAAATAAATTTTTTTCCCAGTGTAATTATCATTTTTAATTTTAGTTTAATCGGTGTTAATGATAATAATCTACAAGTAATTATTAATTTAAAAAAACAAATATTTATTTACTAAAGAATAAGGAAACGAGAGTTGAGAATAAAAATTCTGTTTTCTTTTTGTTTTAGAGCTGCACAGAAACTGAATCTTTCAGCGAGTCCGCATAGGAGACGTAGATCAGGCGATGATATTGATGAACAACCCTTTTTTCCTAATGGCTATGCAGCTCTTCTCCAGAAATCTCCTCCTCCAGCACCGCCAGCACTTCTTAGGAGGATAGGCGTCAAAGAGTTGTCTGGAGTTGGAAAGGTAAGATTTATTTTACTTCCATTTTACGTTTTCTCTAAAAGAAGCCATTTCTCATACGTCTTGAGATGCTATTTTCATTTTGTGACAGAAAATTTCATGAGACAATTGTTTCGTTGTTTGTATTCTTCTTGGACTGAACACAAAGTTCTTGAATGAGTGAAAGTATTTAAAAATACGGATTTTAAGGAATTATTTCCAAGAATTCACGCTCTAATGATTTTAATATTCAATTTTTATCTAAAATTTTAACTCTAATTTATTTTTAAATAAATTTTTATTAGAAAGTCCTACAAGAATTCAATTATTTAAATACAAAACTAATTTAGTAAATAATTAAATTTTCCTAAAGAATTTTATCAATAAATTGAATTCTTTTGACGAATTTTAACCAAATTTTTATGAATATTTACATTTTTTGATGAATTTGATTAAAATTGTATTAAAAATAATTAAAATTCTGAGACAAGTTTTATTATTTATAAAAATAATTGAATCCCTGTAAAAAATTTTATTATTTATGAAAATAATTTAAATTGCGAAGAAATTTATAAAAAATTTGTAAATAATTAAATACCTTTGACTTGTGAAGTTTTTATTTTTTTAAAAAAAATAATTAAATGTTTGTGTAGAGTTTTAATAAATATTTTTTTAAAAAACTGAATTCTTTTGGAAAATTTTATTAAAATAGTAAATATTAAAAATCATTGAATTGAGGGCAATTTTTGAAAATAATTGAAATTTAAAAATTTTAATCTAAAATCTTAACTGTAATTCATTTTTAAATCAATTTTTATTAGAAATATCTACGAGAATTGAATTATTTAACATTTAAAAAAAAATTTTTGAATAATTAAATGTTACTTAATATTGAATTCTCAATAAAGAATTTTATCACCAAATTTTTAAATAATTGAATTCTTTGGCGAATTTTAATAAAAATTTGAAGAGCAATTACAGTTTTTAATGAATTCGATAAAAATTGTATTAAAAATAATTGAAATTTTGCAATGAGTTTTATTATTTATGAAAATAATTTAATTTCTAAAAAGTTTTTTATTATTTATAAAAATAATTGAATAATTGCTAAGAAATTAAAAAAAAATTGGTAAATAATTGAATTTCTGTGAAATTTTTATTATTTATGAGAATAATTAATTATTTGCGTAGAATTTTATGAAAAATTTTATTAAAATTTTTAAAATAATTGATTTTTTTCGACTAATTCCTGTTTGGAAATTTTATGAAAATAGTAAATATTAAAAATAATTAAATTTTACAAAGAATTCTATTAAAATTTTTGAGAATAATGAAATGTCTGTGTGGAATTTTATTAAATTTTTTAAAAAATAATTGAATTCCTATAAAGCATTTTATTATTTATGAAAATAATTGAATTCTTGTGAACGATTTTATTAGAATTTTTTTAAATAATTAAATTTCCAAGAAAAAATTGATTAATTTGATTAAAAATAATTGAATTCTTGTCATGAATATTGTTATTTATGAAAATAATTGAAGTTTGCAAAGAATTTTATTAAAATGCTTTAAAAAAATTAAATTTTCGTGAATAGTTTTTTTATTCATCGATTTAATCGAATTCTGTCGAAGAATTTATAAAATAAAATATAATTTGTAAATAATTGAATTTTTGTGAAATTATTATTTATGAGAATAATTAAATGTTTACGTAGAATTTTATTAATTAAAATTTTTAAGTAATTCAATTCTTTTGGAAAATTTTATAAAAATTTTTAAATAATTGATTTTTTTAGAAGACTTTTATTATATGTACAAATATAATTGAATTTTATCAAAATTCCTGAATATAATTGAATTTCGGCGAAGAATTTAGTTATTTCTAAAAATAATTGAAATTTTGACGAGAATTAAAAAATTTTTTTGAACATAATTAAATTTCTGCAATGATTTGTAACTTTTCAAAAACTTTTTCAAACAAATTACGGACTTTACGAACATTTTTTTTTTTTTTTAAACTGACTTTTTCGGAATTTATCTTGACTTTCATTTTAACTCTGATTATTATTTGGCTTCTCTACAAAGTGAAAATCAAAGTCAGAGTGAAAATGAAAGTAGAAATTAATGTCAAAGACAAAAAGGTTACAAAGAAGGAAAAATGTTACTCCAATTCCTGCATATTATACAATATTAATTCTAATACATATGTATATTAGCATAAATTTCCGACAATGCTAACAATGTTATAATATTACTGTATTACGACTGTCCTGAAATTCTAATCATCAGTTCGTATTCGCATTACGTGTTTGTGGCTGTGCTCCGTTCACTAAAATCAGAGGGTGGTTTCGCCACGTCGGCATCCTATTTCTGCCTTTATGTGAAACGTATACGTCACGAAGCCACTGCCAAATTGGAGAGCTGAATGGGCCAAAAAAAGGACACGAGGAATTGAAAAATGATTGTCCCATTACTGTCGCATGTCGATTTTTGAACTATACTCCAACTATATATATTGTATGTTTATAAAGTATCTAAAAGCGTTAGAAAATCTTTAGAAAATCTTTAGGAAATCTAAAAATCAATTTTTAGAAATTAGTACCTTTTTTTAATTCATTCGATTTGATTGAGCAATTCCGAATTAAAGGTCTTTCTTTTTTAAAAAATGGTTCAGTTGGTATTTTTTAGAAAAATCGACTATGTACAGTATGATAAATAATTGTTTATTAGTTATGCGTACAGTACAAAAGAAAAGGAAGACAGAAGGGATGATTCGAAACTAAGTGAGCATAAAAGCCAAACTAAACGAAGTCACACGCTGCTTGAAATTCATCAGACGTGGTTGCATTCTAATTACTCTCTTCCAGTATGTACCAACTTTTGGAAGTTAGTTAGTCTAAATGAAATTAACATGTTTCAGAGAAAAAGATTCAGCAAACTTTTAAATTAGCCTTTCTTAACTCAATTTCCCAGAAACATTTTCTTCCTAAATTGATAAATATGTACGTTAAAAAGAAGAGTAGTTTTTTTTCTATATATTATCCAAACTCTCTTAAATTGAATCAACATTTTTACTCAGTCACCTAAATCTACCTAAATAGCTCACATATTGTGAAAATCACTATACTTTGTGAAATTTTACAATAGGTGAGCAACTATTTAGTCAGTTAGAAGTGAGCCACAGGTTGTTATGCAGTAAAATTTTACGATCAATTTTCTATTTTCAAATATGAAATTCGATGCTGAATGCTAAATCTTTTATAATGGGGTTTTAAGATCATTTCGAAGGACTAAACTCCCTTCTCGTATCTGCAAAATTCTTCTCAAGAACCTTTCTATTCCTAGGGATAAGTGCTTCCACTTAGTCCACTTGAAAAGTTCATTGGTAGGATTTTATTTGTTTTCCACTCTTCTGTCGGGGTCTTCTTTTGTTTAAGGAACTTTTTTCGGGTGGGAACCGCCACTGGTCGCGCTTCATTTAGCCGACTAGTAGTATATGACTGGTCGCCTCCCCCCGGAGAAAAAAGAAAGACAAATGGAATCAAAATCGAAGAACCTAATTTTCGTAATATATCATCTTTTACTCCCTATATCATATATAATGTATTTATAAACTGATATTTATTACAGAGTTATCACAAAAATGTAATTTTCTTTTTCCCCGACTTTTCCCTGATTTCCCTAATTCTAATTTTCCTGACTTTGTCCTATTCCCTGACCTGTAGCAACTCTGATTAAGTTATTTAAAAAGAAATTGTTGTCAGAAATGGAAAAATTTCAAGGTTTTATATTATCAAAGGTTGAAATTACTTGTGTAATTTGTTTCTATTAGTAGAAAAAATTACACATTATTTTGGAGAGTTTTAATTTCGAGGGGATTGATTTTGAATTATTTTTGGAAGCCCCACTGGAATAGAGAGCGTAAAAGGAAGATAGGTGAAATCACTTGTTACAGGTTGATCCTTGGTCGTTATCCTGAGGACAAATATTTAAGCGTCAGTGTTTGCCGATCGTCGAGATTGCGGGGCACGAGACACACCCCCATCTTGGAAATGTTTTTACAGGGTTGTGACGTCGTTCTCGGAAAGAGCCCAATTCCAGGAGCTAAACCGGAAATACTGTCATTGCTGTTTTGCCTCCACACAAAGAAATGCGGGAGAAAATACGCATGTGTGCGAATATAGCACATGTACTATCGCATATATAGCGCATATATACATAACACATATAGCACATGTACTTACGAATATGGCACATGTACTTACGCATACAGCACATGTACTTACACATATAGCACATGTATTTACGAATATAGCACATATACTTACACATATAGCACATGCAGTACGAACACATGAAGCACATAAAGGAACACATATATCACATATACGAACACATATGGCACATATACGAAAACATGTAGCACATATACGAACACATACAGCACATATAGTACAAGCACATATACGAACACCTATAGCACATGTACGACCACATATAGCACATGTACAAACATATATAGTATTTATATAAAAACAGCACGTATACAGACACATGTACCCAAAACACGTCACATATACACTCACACATACCAAAAACGACATGTATACTATATACAATATAGAAACGATAATCCTGGCAGAGGAGAAAAGGAGGAAAGAGAAGATGGAGTAGTGCTTATGGTGTACATATAGTTTTCGTCCCTTTGTGTTTGCCACAACTATGAACATACTAGCATAAACGCTTACATAAGAGAGAAACCTTGGCTTATAACCTGGCATGCTTATGCGCCACGAGACACTCATTTGCATTTTAAATCATTCGCCACTTTACCCATCTCTACCTATGGACTAAGTCGCACTTTCGCTACCGATGAGAAATTTCCACGAGCACGCCCTCTATCTTTCTCTCTCTCTCTCTTGCCATCCAAATTCCGGTGTTAGACGAAACCAAACGAGATTAGTTTGCCCAAAGCCTTTGAAGATGCTTCCACAGATTTTGAATATAATGCTGATTAGCAAATC